CAGGTCACGGGGGCCCCCGGGGCGGGGGCCTGCCTCATCGACTGGGGCAGAGGCCGGGTCGGGAGGGCTGGGGGGCCCAGCCGCTGCACGGTGCCCCGCGCTTCCAAGGACTCAGGCGCTGAGGAGATCTGAACGGAAAGGAAAGAAAAGTGTATTTTTTATTTTGGTACCGGGGATCAAACTCAGGACCTTACACTTGCCAGGCAGGCACGGAGCCACTGAGCCACATCCCCAGCTCAAAAGCAGAGCCTGAAGCGACGTTTAACACCCTTCAAGACTCCACCAGGAATAAGTAGCTCAGAGCTAATGAATTAAGAAGAAACGAAAGGACACTTCTTTTTTCTAGTTCTGGGGGTTGGATCTAGGGCCTTTACATTGAGCTACATCCCAGCACACACACCCCCCCACCGTTTAATTTTTCTTATATAAAGGGTCTTGTTAAATTGCCTGGGCTGGGCTCAAACTTGCAATCCTCCTGCCTCAACCTCCTGAGTGCTGGAATTACAGTGTGCAATGCCATGCTGGGCTGAGAGTACTTTTCAAGTAGATACCAAGTATCAGACACCTTTCTTGGTGCTGGGCAACAGCCAAACAAAACAGATACAAAAGTTACTGCTTGGGGCCAGGGATGTAGCTCAGTGCCACCGCCTGCCCTGCAACTGCAAGGTCCTGAGTTGGATCCCCAGTACCAAAAAAAAAAAAGTTACTTCTTGCGTGTGTTCTGGAGAGACTGAGGAAAGTTACAACAGAAGATGGGGAGGAAGACAAGACAGGGTGAGGGTGCCAAGGAAGGGAACAAGCATGTGGTGTGCTTTGTCTGGAAAAAGAGAAGATGCACATATAAATGATATTAGGAATAAAAAAGAGGAAATGGCTATGTGTGTTGCAGAAATTACGCAGACACTAAGAGGATATTTCAGACAAGATTATGCTAATCACTTGAAATGGATGAATTCCTAGAAAATATCAAAATGACTCAAGAACTAGAAAACTTGTCAGCCCCATAACCACGGAGGAAGAGGAAGAGGAATTGGTGGTGTAGAGGAAGATCTCGGGCCTAGATGACAGAAAAACTGGCTTTCCACATGCCAAAAGTTGAAGTGACCCATACCTTTCAACACGCATTAACCTAAAATTGAAATGGATCAAAGATCTAAATATTAAAACAGAAACATCAAATCTTCTGGAAGAGAGAATAGGTAGAAACTTGAGGACATGGGAGTAGGCAAAGACTTCATGAACACAACCCAGACCACACGAGAAATACTACAAAGAATCAACAGCTGGGACCTCATCTTATTAAAAAGCTTTTGTGAGGGCCGGGGATTTAGCTCAGTGGTTCCGGCAACCTGCCTCGAAAGTGCAAGGTCCCTAGTTCGATCCCGGTACCAAAAAAAAACCAAACAAAAAGCTTTTGTGAGCCGGATGTGGTGGGGCATGCCTATAATCCCAGCACTTGAGAGGCTGAGGCAGGAGGATCACCTGAGTTTGAGGGCAGCCTGGGCTATATAGCAAGTTCAGACTACAAAGGGAGACCCTGCCTCAAAAAACCAAAATAAATAAATAAAAAGAAAAAAAAAGCTTTTGTATAGCAAGACAAACCACCAACAGAATGAAGAGATGACCCACAAAGTGGGAAAACATTTTTCCCAGCTGTTCAGATAAAGGACTGTTATCTAGAATATATAAAGAACTAAAAAAAAAAAAAGACCCCCCCAATTTAAAGACCCAGTGCAAAAATGGGCATCTGAAATAAAAAGACACTTCGCAGATAAAAAATTAGAAACGGCAAATAAATATATGAAAAATGTTCAACATCACTGGTCATTTGTGAAATGCAAATTAAAACAACACTGAGATTCCATCTCACTCCAGAAAGAATGATGCTATCCAGAAATCAGCCAATAACAAATGCTGGCGGGGCTGTGGGGAGAAAGGCAGCCTCTCCACTGCTGGTGGGAGTGCAGACTGGTGCAACCGCTGTGGGAATCAGTGTGAAGAATTTTCAAAAAACTAAAACTAGAGGTCCCATTGGACCCAGCTATTCCCCTCTTGGTATCTTCCCAAAAGAATTAAAAGAATCAAACCACAGTGGTACATGTGCAGCCATGTTTATTGTGCCACAGTTTGTTTTGTTTTTTGGTACTGGGAATCAAACTTGGGACCTTGTGCTTGCGAGGCAGGCGGCAGAACCGCTGAGCTAAACCCCCGGCCCTGGCCTCCTCTTTCCCGACTGGTTGTCTGGCCTGTTCCATCCCCCATACTAAAAAAAAAAAAAAAAAAAAAAGGACTGACCCTGGCTGCGGTCTCGGAAGAGGAAGAGGCGCTGGTCTGCAATATGAGCAGCGAAGGAAAAGCTCGAGGGGCCTCAGGGGGTTGTTTTGCCCTCGGCGGTGTCCAAAGCGGTGCCTGAGGAAGGCGCCTGGCACCTGTGGGAGGGGACATACGAGCTCCGCTCCCCCTCCCTGGCTATCCTGCAGAAATGCTCAAAGTGTGCAGAGGCTCACAGCAATCAGAAAAGCAGGAGGTCAGAGGCAGGCTGTGCACCATCAGCAGTGTGGCAGGTCCCTTTGCTGCAGTCACAAAACAGACCGGCCAGCAACAAGATGCAGGAACTACACCTTCAAGTGTCAACAGAGCTATCTCAAAAATGCAAGGCATGGGGCAGGGGATTCAGCTCAGTGGGGCCATGCCTGCCTTGCAAGTGCAAGGTCTTGAGTTCAATCCCCAGTATCAAAAAAAACAAAACAAAACGCAAAAACCCCCCAAAATGCAAGGCAAGCCAGGCAGGGTGGTGCACGCCTATAATTCTAGCTCCTCTGGAGGCTGAGGGAGGAGGATTCCAAGTCTGAGGCCAGACTGGGGAATTTAGCAGGACCATGCTCAAAAAACAAAAGCAACAACAACAAAACAAAAACAACATGTGTGAAAGGAGCAAGCTACTGAAGGATATATGTGGTATACAGTTGAAAATGAGGTGGGCCAGGGATTTAGCTCAGTGATCCCGGCACCTGCCTTGCAAGAGCAAGGTCCCAAGTTCGATCCCAGGTACCAAAAAGAAAAAAGAAAATGAGGAAACACAGCCCAGGGTACTATTTATGGAGGCATTGACAGGTGGTAAAACTACAAAGAAGGCTGGGGCTGGTGGCACACACCTGTAATCCCAGCACTGGAGAAGGCTGAGGCAGGAGGGTCAAGTTCGAACCCAGCCTGGGCTCCATAGTGAGTTCAAGGCCAGCCTGAATTGCATAGTGGGACCCTGTCTCAAACAATAACAACAAAAACAAAAACTACAAAGGAAAGCAAGGCAGGACAACACCCCAGCTGGGCGGGTGGGTTCCTGCGACCTGGTGGGGTGCTCCACCCACAAATGTTGGTAGCCCATCCTGCTGTCCTGGTCTTCATGGACTGCAGTGGGCCCCGTGCACTAGGCTGTACTTCCACGTCCACTACATCAGCCAGGCCTCGCCCACTGCCTGGTGATCACCAGCATCTCTTGCCCTGTGTGTACGGGGCCTGACTTTCAGGAGGTGTTAAGCAAGGGTTTGTTGAGTGACTGAATAAGGCCATGAAGAAAGGACTCTCCCAGTTCAGGGGTCTCGGACACTGGACACTGGGACACTGGCTTCTGCCAGGGAGCCTGAGGTAGGGGTAGCCAGTCTCTGCCAGCGGCAAACAGTGCCTCCCTGGGCAAGCTGGGTGGGGAGGGAGCCCCTACTCCCACTGTCCTTCCCCAGCCTGGGCCAAGCAGACGCTGCGCATCTGGAGCCCTCACCCGGCGGGGTTCCCGGAGGCCGGCTGTACCCCCAGCTCCTGCCAGCTTCCCGCTCAACCCCCGCCCCCCGCTGTCCAGGGCCTGCACCCAGAGGGCGCCTCTTTGCCCAGAGGGGTCCCCACCCTGGATCTGCCTTGGCATTCAGCTAGGCCTTCTCCTGGCTCTTCCGCCCCCAGCCCGCCTCCTTGGCAGGCTGGCCTGGGCTTTGGCTGGGGATGCTCCCCCGTGGGGTGAGGTCTCCCCTTCCCTGCCATGCTTGGGCCTGGGGGGGCTCCTGCTGCCTGCTGAGCCAGGAGGACCAGGTGGGCCTCAGCCCCTGCCCTATGCAGTGCCTTTGTCTCCCTATCCAGGCCTCCCATACACCTCTGCTCTCTCAGAAAGGGCTGGGGGGCTGAGGGGCAGATGTCGCTGGTGGGAAACTGGGCCCTGGAGCTCAGGGCTGGGCTGCCCCACCCAGAAGCCTGTCTGGAGCCAGGCTGGGCTTTGAGGAGGCTGGGGACCCCACCCCCATTCCTACCCCTCCCTCCGGGGTCCTGAGCTGAAGAAAGCCTCTTTTGCTGGGCCTGTGACATCAGGTCCTCAGCCCGGGCAGCGGGCCGAGCCCAATTGTCTGGGCTGGTTCACTGGCCAGGGCCTAGCCCTGTCCCATCAAAGGCCCCTTGAGCTCCCTGCCCGCTCCCTGGTGGTCTTAGCACATGGCCTCCCGCTGGCCCAAGGACAGGGCTCTGCCTAGAATTCCCATGCTGGGGCCATGGAGGGAGGTGGCTCCCAGCCAAGGAGCCCCGTGTGCCTGGTCAGGCCGGCTGCTGGCGAGCCTGCGGGGTGGGCTGGGGCCGGGGCTGCTAACGGAGCCCCACAGGCCAGCCTGCCCTCGGGGTGTGGCGCCTCCTCGACCTCCCAGCAGGCCCTGGGCCCATCTGCTGTCTGCCATCCCGGGCCTGGCGTGGTCGCTGGCCACCCGGCGTGTGGGGCGGGCGGAGACCATCTCGCTCCCCGCCCGGCCCTGAGCGCCCAGGGCGGGAAGAGTGGGTCTCTGGGGGCCCCATGCCTGGCCAGGGCGGGGCTGGGCACTCACTGTAAGGAGAGGGCGGAAAGAAGGGCGGTGGGCAAGGGTCGAGGCGCGCCCCGGTGTCCCCAAGCGCCGGAGCGCGGGGCACGGTGACTCAGCGGCCCGGTGCTCACCTGCGAGACGGGGCGGGGCCGAGAAGGGAGGGGCCGCGGGGGCGGGGCCGGGGCCAGCGGGGGCGGGGTCACGGGGCCGACTCCTGGGCTCCCGCCCGCTGCCCGCCTCGGCCCGGATCCCCGCCGCGTCCTCAGCGCCACCGATGGCCGGGAAGGCGCTGTCGCTCCTGCCACCGCTGCTGCTGGCCACGGCGGGCCTCGCCGGCCTCCTGCTGCTGTGCGTCCCCACCCGCGACGTCCAGGAGCCGCCCGCCCTCAAGGTGCACACCCGGCCCAGGCGCGGCGCGGATGGCCGCAGATCCCGGGTCCTGCAGGTCCCCGGGCGACAGGGAGCCCGAGGTCGAGCTCGCAGGGACCCGGTCCACAGAGGCCACTGTCGGGGCTCATCCTCGCCCAGAGGCGCCCGAACCGTTAGAGGCGCGCGAGGCTGGGCTCGCCTGTTGTAGTGGCCCGAGCTGGGGACCCCGACCGGGTGGGCGCCTCCTGCAGCGGGCTTGGGGGGTGGCCCTGGCTGGGGCCCATGGGGGCCTTATTTAATTAACCCTTGCTGTGCTGTGCTGGATGTGGCGGCTGTGGAGACCCCAGCCCTGTGAGCTCCAGGATGGGGGCCGGGAGGGGAGCCTGGACCGACAGAAGCAGCAGAGTGGCTCCACTCTGGGCCCTCAGGGGGGGTGGGCAGGTGCTGAGCTGGCCCGGCCTGTGAGGAGAGCCACACAGCGCCCTGGCTTCACACCACCAACCTTTCCCTGCCCCGCCTTTGAGGCCCAGGGAGGCTGGTGGGTTGGAGGCGACACAGCCTCTAGCTATGGTTGGGGCAGGGTGGGCAGAGGCGGGAGGAAGGAAGAGGGGTCCTCCTGCTAGTGCCAAGACCTGCAAAGTTGCAGACCTTGGCACAGCCCCTCAGGTGGCCGGCAAATGGGCCTCTGACAGCGTGGCGTGCTGGTCCAAGTGCAGGGGTCATCTGCCCCCATGTAGCCAAGTGGCCACGGGGCTACTCCTGGCTCTCTGAGTTTCGGCATGGGAGGGGCACAGAGCCGGGCACTAAGAGGCGGGTCTGAGGCCCAGGCCCCTCAGGCTGACGCCCTGCCCCACCCACAGTACGGCATCGTGCTGGATGCTGGCTCTTCACACACATCTATGTTTATCTACAAGTGGCCGGCAGACAAGGAGAATGACACAGGCATTGTGGGGCAGCACAGCTCCTGTGACGTTCAGGGTAAGGCCCCCAAGTCCTAGACACCCACTCCCTGGAGGGTCTCAGTCCTGAGGCTTTGCCTGTGGCCGGATGGGGCCCACTCCAGCCAGGAGCTGCAAAGAGGCCAGGGCCCTGGGCCTGGGGGCTGCAGCAGTTTGTGTTTTCTCTTTTTGGTAACGGAGATGGAACTCAGGACCTTGTGCTTGTGAGGCGGGCAGCAGAACCACTGAGCCAAATCCCCAGGCCCAGTTTGTGTTCTAGAAATGAAGCCGCAGGTGGAGATGCAGGGTTGGTCCCCTCCCAGCCCAAGCCTTGCCTCTGTGGCCCAGTGGAACAGGCGGGGCTTGGAGGACCTGGTGAGCGCATCCAGGCAGGTCCCTGGGAGGTTAGGCTGCTCAACAATGCCCAGGGCTTTGTCCTGGCACCTGTGCCCACACCCACCCCACAGGCAGCAGCCTCAAAGACGGGGTGGCACTTGGTCCTTTTGTCTGTGATGGGGTGTCTCTGGGGATGAAGCTGGGAAGGTGTGTCCACGCTGGGTGGGAGCACAAGACTCTTGACTGGGCCTCCGTTCTGCCTGGGGAATGTCACTGGGCCTGGGCCATCTCTCTCCTCCCTCCAGGTGGGGGTATCTCCAGCTATGCAGACGACCCTTCCAAGGCAGGACGGAGCCTGGTGGAATGCCTGGAACAGGCCCTGCGGGATGTACCCACAGAGAGACATGCTGCCACACCCCTGTACCTGGGCGCCACAGCAGGCATGCGCTTGTTGAAGTGAGTGAGGTGCCCTGGCCTCACCCTGGGCTCTGCATGCCCTTGGGACCAGCTCCGGGTGGGGCTCCTCATTCAGTAGACCCTGAGCACCCATGGTCAGAGCCCAGCTTCCTGTGGAGAAGGCCTCAGAGTCCTCCCATCCCACAGCCTAACCCGACCAGAGGCCTCAGCCAGTGTGCTGGCTGCAGTGACACAGACGCTGACCCAGTACCCCTTCGACTTTCGGGGGGCACGCATCCTGTCGGGCCAGGATGAGGGAGTGTTTGGCTGGGTGACTGCCAACTATCTGCTGGAGAACTTCATCAAGGTGGGCTTTGCAGCTGGCTGGGGCGTCAGAGAGCCAGGGCACAGGCCCATCCTCGGCTGACCCATCTCCACTCTTAACAGTATGGCTGGGTAGGCCGGTGGTTCCGGCCAAGGAAGGGAACCCTGGGGGCCATGGACCTGGGAGGTGCATCCACCCAGATCACCTTCGAGACGACTCAGCCAGCCGAGGATCCTGCCAATGAGGTCCACCTTCGGCTCTACGGCCAGCGCTACCGAGTCTATACCCACAGCTTCCTCTGCTATGGCCGAGACCAGGTCCTCCAGAGGATGCTGGCCAGTGCCCTCCAGGTGCCTCCCCACCCCAGGGCATCCACACTGCACCATCTCCTAGGGCAGGGAGGGAGTGAAAAGGGACAGGGGCTGAGGCCCCCAGAAGGGCTTGGCTTCTGCTGGAAGGACAGGAGGGGAGGGGCCTGCATGCATGCATAGGATCTGGTGGTTGGGGGCCTGGAGAAGGGAGGGCCATAGACAGATCTCAGAAGGCCTCGATGCCTGGCCAAGGAATTGGATTTTTGTCCAGTGGTCAATGGGGAGCCATAGATTGCTCCTGAGCACAAAATGATATTGTCCAAATTGGACTGTGGGAATTCATCAGAGTAGCCTTCTGGGGCAGAATGGGGGTGGTGCCACCTCTGATCACAAGCTTACAAGCTTGACATCTATAAATCATACTTGTCCCCTAATTTCAAGAGTTATGTAAGCAAAGATAAATTGAAAAGCAGCAAAAAGAGCTACTTCTCTTGTTCTCTAACACAATATAAAAGACAAGGCAATTTATCATAATTGAGGAAAGGGGCAGTACTGTGCTTATTCATCTAATTCTATAGAAAAAGACAAGTTCAAGGTGAAAGGGATCTTTACCATATAATCCTTAACAGTGCTTTACAGAAATAAAGCATATTTTGTCTAGGGAACTCAGGCTAATCTATCCACAAGAATTATGATGAGAGAAAATGTTTCTCACTTAAAACATCTAGACATAATCTCAAATACTACTACTAACTCCTGACCTTATGCTTTCTAGTTATTTATTAATTTAGCTCACTCAGTATAAACCCTTATTTCCAGGGTTTTTAATTGAGTAAGAGAAAGTACCAGAGTAAACTATGCCTTCAAAGAGTAAAGAGCTTATAGTATAATGTGGAAGATATGGATATTTTGTTTGATTCAATTTTCACAAATCATAATAGTCGGAAAGCAATGTTTGACCTATTGTCTTAGTTAGGTTCCTGCATTCTGTTTCTCTCTCCCCAGACCCACCGCTCCCACCCTTGCTGGCCAAGGGGCTACTCCACCCAAGTGCTGCTCGGGAATGTGTACCAGTCACCCTGTACCGGGGCTCAGCGGCCCCAAGCCTTCAACAGCAGCGCCAGGGTCACTGTGTCGGGCACCAGTGATCCTGAGCTCTGCCGTGGCCTGGCCACGGAGCTCTTTAACGTCTCCTCCTGTTCTTTCTCCCAGTGCTCCTTCAACGGGGTCTTCCAGCCCCCACTGTCTGGGAGCTTCATCGTGAGTCCGGCACCGGGAGTGGGAGCGGGAGTGGGAGTGGGTGTGGGCCGGGGAAGTGCCCGGGGCCGGCTTTGGGGTGACTGTGGCCCCTGCAGGCCTTCTCTGCCTTCTACTACACCGTGGACTTCCTGCGGACCGTCATGGGACTGCCCACCGCTACTCTGAAGCAGCTGGACGCCGCCGCGGTGACCACCTGCAACCAGACCTGGGCTCAGGTGAGGCTGCTCCACCTCCTCAGGCCATGGGGAGGCCTGGGCAGCGGCACCACACCTGCCCCTCCTGCGGGACCTCTCCATGCGCTCTGTGGTTGGGGCCACCACGCTGGACTCTGGAATGGCGGCTGCAGTCAGAGTGTGGGGCAGGCGGGCAGGGGACCTCGGCACCTTCTTGAGGCCTGGCCTTAGCTACAGTGAAGACCAGGAGGGCAGCATGAACAGGGGGCTCAGAGACGTGGCTTGGGCCAAGTGGGGCGAGTGGAGGCCGGGGAGGGGACTCGGGCATCCGGCATTAGAGTGGGCCAGGCTCCGATGGGGGAGCGAGGAGCCGAAGGCTGCCCCGGGCCCAGGCTTACAGCTCCTGCCACTGGTGGGACATTGGTGCCAAGCAAGAAAGGCAGGGTGCTTGACACCTGACAGTGCAGTGCCCACCTGAGCCTCAGGGAGGAGGAGGAGTGTGACAGCCCCCGTGCCACCTCGGTGCCCACTCTCAGGGGAGCCGTGAGGAGGGAGGAGGCTGGAGGGGCAGTGGAGGCTGCACTCGGCCTGCAGCTGCTGTTTCCCTGGCCTCTGCCCCACGGGGCCACCCTGTTTCCCTCGAGGCTGGTCGCGCGCTGGCTGGGAGGCCACACTGCCATCCGTCCGAGGTTCATCCCGGAGGCCTGTGCTGCCTTCTGCTGGCCCCCTGAGCGAGGTCTTGGTGCTGGAGTCCGGGCACCCCGCTGGCCAGGCCACCTCTCCCTGGAGTCCCGGCCCAACGACCTCCCTCCTGCACCCCAGCTGCAGGCTCGGGCGCCAGAGCAGAAGGCCCGCCTGGCTGATTACTGTGCCGGGGCCATGTTCGTGCAGCAGCTGCTGAGCCGTGGCTACGGCTTTGACGAGCGCAAATTCAGCGGTGTGGCCTTCCAGAGGAAGGTGGGCGCGGGGCGGGCTGGAGCAGGCGGGACCTGGGCGGAGGGCCGGGCTGCCCCGAGGCTGAGGCCACGACCCACCCCCCACCCCCGCAGGCAGCGGACAGCGCGGTGGGCTGGGCGCTGGGCTACATGCTGAACCTCACCAACCTGATCCCCGCCGACCCACCGGGGCTGCGCAAGGGCACGGCCTTCAGCTCCTGGGTGGTTCTCCTGCTGCTCTTCGCCGCCTTGCTCCTGGCGGCGCTTGTCCTGCTGCTGCGCCGAGTGCGCTCCACCAAGGCGCAAAATGTCATCTAGGGGCGCGTGTGGGGGCAGTTGTCCCGGATCCCACCCCGCAGCACCTCGCTCCGTAGTAGCCGCCCCACAGTACCCCGCTCCAGCACCCCTGGGGGCCGCGGAACCCAGACTCTGCCACCGACACCCACAGGGGTCCTGGGTGGCCAGAGGAGACCAGCACCCCTCCGATCCCCAGAGTCCCCAGCCCCTGCGTCCAGGCTTTGCCTTAACACTTCTCTTTTTGGGGTCAAGGCCCCTCATCCTGTGACTCAGAGCAGGGTCTCCAGGGAGTGGGGCCTTTATGGGCTCATCAGGGCCCTAGACCCCCTCCGTGGAGTCCAGGCCTGCCGTGGGGAGGGCCAGAGCCCACAGGCAGGAGCCAGCCTAGCGCCTGAGTGTAAACATTTTGTAATAAAAGGTTTTTCCTAGAGCAGCGAAGGGTGTTCACAGGGTGGGGCGGCTGTTGTTGCCTGACCTCCCTCTGTCCAGCTGTGTTGGAACGCAGGCCTGCCCGGTCCCCAGGGTGGACAAGGCTCTTCCAGCGTCCTTCCTGCCGGGGCCAGGCCTGGGCAGTGTGGGGCCCCCTGCTCTGGGGTATGGGGACCTCCCAGAGTCCTTGAGCCTCCTTCAGCCCCGAAGAGCCCCACACACCACTCCCCAGATCTGCATCAGAGTCCCAGGCGGGATGGAGGGGGCTCCAGCGGCCGAGAAGAAGGCGGGCCTGGGGAGGTGTGGGCAGGAGGGGCCCCGAGGCATCTAGACCCCTAGCCCTGCTCCCCGGGCGCTGACTTGGCGTCCTGCGCTTGTTTTCCCCGGGGCGGGAAGGCGTGGTCTTGGCGACTCCCTCCCCTTTCTGGGAACGCGCTCAGGCCGTTGTGTGGTCACTGCCCGTGGGGGCGGCCCTTGCTCTGCGCACCCCTCACCCCCACAAACCCTTCTGCGGGGCCGCTTTGGAGCCTGAGACCCTCGGACCGCGGGCCGAGAGGAAGCGCCGGGCTGGAGTCTCAGCTGGTTCTCTTGGGAGAGCTGGCTGGGGTGAGGGTTTTAGGGGGTGCTGGGTGTGCGCCCAGGGGACTGCACGTGAGAGGCGACGCAGGGATTTTGGCTGCCGATGTCGTGGGGCCCTCAGGAGCTCAGTGGGCCACGCGGGACTGTGACCACCTTGGACAGCTCCCAGCCGGTTTCCGCCCCCACCGGCTCCAGGTCACTCTTGCCCCCTGGTGGACTCGCTCGGGATCCACCGAGGGGCGTCGGGAGCGTCTAGCTCTGTGCCCGTTTGCGTTTACCGTGGTCTGCCCGGCCGCCTGCGCACCTCCGTGCCCCTGCTCGCCCCTTGTTTATCCAGGGGCGACGGAGTCTCCGGTCCCCCAGGTTTACACCCCGCCCCAGGCAGAGGCTCAGTTCAGGGGCATGGTGACGAGGGTCTGGCAATCCGACCGCCCAGAGGACAGGAAGGGCGCGTCTAGGGGCGCTCGCCCCGCGCCAACCCCAAGCAGGATTCCGGTGAGGGCGGTGCAGAAGCCAGTGGCGCAGAGGCGCGGGGCCGTGGAGGGGAGGGGGCGCAGCCGAGCTTGTCCCGCCCCCGGCGCCGCGCGCAGGCGCACTCCCCACGCTCCCCCGCGCACTCCCTGCGCGCTTGTCTCCCGCCTCGCGCTCAGCGCCCCCGCCCCCTCTTTTCCTTCTCCTCCGGCTCCACCTCCGCCTCCTCCGCCCTCCTGCTTCCCGAGGTCTCAGCTCGCGGTCCGGAGCCCGCATCGAGCCCGGGGCCGCCAGCTGCCATGCTGCCCGGGCGGTGGCGCTGAAGGATGGCGACGCCGGTGCCCCCGCCCGCGCCGCGCCACCTGCGGCTGCTGCGGTTGCTGCTCTCCGGCCTCGGTCTCGTCCTCGGCGCGGCGCTGACCGGAGCCGCCGCCAGCCGCCCGGGTGAGCACGGGGCGCGGATGCGGGGCTCGGGGCCGCTCGCTCCCGGGTGACCCGGCCTGGCCCCGAGCAGCCTCGGATCCACGCGCTTCGTGCCTTTGTCTCCTCGGGAGCCAGGCCGGGTCCGCGTCCCCGGGGCCTTGGGTCTGACTTGGCGTCTGTGGGTCCCCGAGGTGTCCCTGGGGGCGCAGTGCGAGGCCGCCTGGCTGGGAGCCTTGAGTGGTGCCCGGCACACACCTGCGTTGCCTCGCATAGCAGAGGCTGAGGGTCTCGGCCTAGGGCCGTGTTCCTTCAGTGGGGCCAGACTCCCCAGTCCCGCGGCCCCGGCCGCCCTGCCTTCTGGACCAAGGTCTGTGGGTGGACTCTGGCGGAGAGCGGTGAGAGCAGGGTCGGAGGGACTCCCCTGCTTCCCAGATGGGTGCACAGGGTCCAGCCAGCACAGGGCTGCAGGAGCCCAGGGTCCAGCACACTGCCCCAGGGTGGCCTGGGAGCCCATCCTGTGGCTCACCCGGCTCTCCTGGCAGCCCTGTGGCAGAGCTTTTGGCTGGGCCTACAGATGAGGAAACCAAGGCCCAGAAAAGTCAAGTGGCTGGTACGTGGCACAACTAGGATGTGAGCCTGAGCGATCGTGTTCTGGGTGTGTGGCCTCAAGAGGCCAGGGCAGGCCTCTTCCTGGGCACAGTGACCCTGGGTAGAAGGTTGGCACAGTTGGAGAGGCTCTGGAGGCTACAGGCAGAGCAAGACTTGGCTGGAGGTGTTGGAGCCACCTGCGGAGAGTGTGGGTCCCAGACGCAGGGGACGGGACAGGCGCCATCCCCAGTGCCTGTCAGCCCCAGCCCCTTCATGCCCACTGCTTCTGGGACCTCATTGCCCGGTGCAAGGCTGGAGGGGGCCTTCCAGGCCTAGACCAGATGCTCAGCAGTCATGTCCTGGGGGCCAGAGGGCTCGGGAGGAGGCCCTGGGAACCTGGAGCCAACCCTCCCCACCAGGCCTCTGCCACTGCCCTGGCACACTCGGGTTATCAGCACCAGGGGCAGGGACTGTCTGCTCCCCAGTGCCCAGCTGATGGGCAGGTCCAGGTGAGCCTCCTGGCACAGGCTTAATGTGTAACTAGCCTGTGCCTGGGCCCTGCCCACTGACAGGATTCTGGGGAGTGGGGTGCCTGGCAGGGAGCCTGTGCCCACCTGCCACTGGGGGTGCCGGGACTCTTTGCAGGGATGCCTGCAGCCTGGAGCTGTGGAGTGTCAGGTTTCCAAGGAAACCAAGCTAGGCCAGCCAAGGTCTGGAGAAGGGCACATCCTCCACGTCATGTCACCCTGGGCCCTGGTGGCCCTGCCTGCAGCGTGGGTGGGGGCTGGGCTGAGCAGGGACGCTGGTCCTGCTGGGTCCCCTGGGCTTGCTGTGACTGCAACCAGTGTCTCAACTTCGAGATGTTCCTTAGCTTTGAAGCAGCTGAACTTCGGCATCCCAAGGCAGAAACAGGCAGAAGGGCTGCCCCTCCTGTGCTCTAGCAGAATGGTAGGGCTGCCAGACTGGGTTCCAAATCAGGGAGAAGAAAATGGTTCAGAAGCAGAGCTTGGCCTGGAGGCCCCAGCACTGCCCAGCCCAGCCTCCTTCGGCTGTGGGTCTAGCTGACTGCAGTGGCTTCCCTGCCCCGAGGACAAGCTGGCAGCAGTGATAGCATCGTCTTCCCAACTGGCCCTTGCTCGGGGGTCTTTCTGAGTCCGTTCTGTGGAGCCGTGATGGGGTGGTGTGGGGGTGCTGCTCTCAAGGCAGAGCCTGGGTCCCCGGAGCTCCCAGTCTGCATGGAAGGTCTGGTTTGCTCTGGGGCAGTGAGACCAGAGTCCAGCCATGGGGAACTGCACAGCCTGGCCCAGAAAAGCCCAGTGCCAGTGGATGGTGAGGGTCAGCTCCCGGCCTGGCTGTGCACAGCCGGCTGGCTCAGGCTCTGGGGAGTGGGTGGGGCTTCGTAGTTCCCATAAGTCTAGGAACTGTTTGCTTCCTGGTTCTGAGCCCTGGAGAGTAGAGGGAAAGCCTGGGCTGCCGGCCCAGAACAATGGCCTGGCCAGGCTGGGCCAGCGCTGTGGGGAGGGGAGGCCAGGCGCAGGGCTGTGAGCATCCTGATTCTGCTTCCTTCCCAGATGCGGCTGCCTGCCCTGGGAGCCTGAACTGTGCCCTGAAGAGGCGTGTGAGGTGCCCCCCTGGTGCGCATGCCTGTGGGCCGTGCCTTCAGCCCTTCCAGGAGGACCAGCAGGGGCTGTGTGTGCCCAGGATGCGCCGGCCGCAGGGTATATGAAGACGAAGGGCAGGGGAGTTCCCCCTAGGTCCTGGTCCTCTGGGCTCTGGGTGGCACTCGAGTGACTGGGTCCAGGCCAGGGCCTGCGGGTGGGTGACCCAGGAAAGGAGGGGCCAGAGTTGCTGATGTGGCAGAAGGATACTCCTTCCCCATCCTTGGGTCTCCTGGTCCTGTGCACCCCACAGCAGGTGTTTGTGGGTGCCTGCCCTGGGCAGTGCAGTTGCCCCAGGTAATAGGTGGCTGGTCACTGAGTGCCACATCTCCAGGTGTGACAGGGCTTTACAGGGAGGTGCTGGGAGGCACCTGGGGGACTGGCACGGAGGGGCAGTGCTGGAGAGGGGAGCTACTGTCTGCACTGCTGAGCTTGTGTGTGGTCTCTACTCAGCAGATTCTGCTGGACAGGGGCCACAGTAGAGACCAGTGGGGCCCAGCACCAGCCGTCCCCTCTGCCACCATGTCTTGTCCAGATCCCCCAAGGGACAGCCTTCTTTGTTGTTTTTTGAGACAGGGTCTCACTTTGTAGTGCGGGCTGGCCTTGAACTCAGTATGGAGCCCAGGCTGGCCTCAAACTTGTAGCAATCCTTCTGCCTCAGCTTCCCGAGTGCTGGGATTACAGGCGTGCGCCACCACGCCTGGCTGGGACAGCCTTGTTGTAGGGCTGTACTTTGGCCTCTCTCCACTCCCTGGGGAGTCACTGCCCCCCCACCCAGAGCAGAGGCCTGGGGTGGACAGAGATGACTGTGCTGGCCTAGGGTCCCGCCCTTCCCTTTGTGGACACAGCACGGGGAGACCTGTTCCTTTCTCCTCCAGTCTCTGCTGCTTCTCCCAGCACCTTCTCCCAGGCCCCACTTTTCCTGGGAACCTGCAGCTCAGGAAGCTTTCTCAGTTGTTGTGCCAAGCTGGTTTACAGAGGGGCCCGTGGGTTGGCACCCGGTCCTCAGGGCCTCACAGCCCGGGCTGGCTCAGGGGCAAGGACCTCTGCTCTGCACCTGATGGCCCTTGCCTCTCCAGGGGAGGGCCCACCCCCGCCCCCGCCCCCGCCCCCGCCCAGGCTGGAAGATGAGATCGACCGCCTGGCCCAGGAGCTGGTGCTGAAGGAGGCCAGGCCCACACAGCTCTCCGTGCAGCCGCTCGCTGGGGCCCGACAGCGGCTCCTGGAGCCCGGTGAGACCCTGCCTGGCTTCCCTGTTGCCACCTTTGGCCCAGCCTCCTGGTCCTGCTGACCGGAACCCTCTCTCAGCAGGTACCCCTGGGTTCTCAGAGCCGGGTCAGGAACCCGGGCCCGGCCTGCCCTCCACTCCGGGAGCCTCCACGCCCACGGCCCACACCTCCTTGGGCTCCCCGGTGTCTTCCGGGCCAGTGCACATCGCGCCCCTGGAGCCCCGGGCTGGGCGTGGCGATGGCCTTGCCCTCGGTAGGTGGCTGCGGAGGGGCTGGGTGGGGAGGTCCCCAGGGAGGGGACCCCTGGGCCTCCCCTCACCACACCCCTCCCACAGTGCTCCTCATTGTGTTCTGCATGTCGGGTGCCACCGCCCTGGCTGTGACCATGCTCTGCTGGTGTAGGTGAGCTGGGCGCAGGTGGGGGCGGCAGGTGGCTCCCCCCCCCCCCCGCGGTGGTCTCAGCTGCTCCTCCCGCAGGCTGCAGCGAGAGATCCGCCTGACGCAGAAGGTGGACTATGGAGCCGCAAAGGCGCCCGGCTCGCCCAGGACACCCCGGATCTCGGTGTGTGGCCCACTTCTGGCCCTGTCCCCCAGCCTCCGGCCTTGCCCTGCTGCCCCACTGCACACTTCCAGCCCCAGCTGCCGCCTGCTCCTCTCTACCTTGCCCATGTCCCCACAGCCCGGGGACCAGCGGCTGGCCCACAGCGCCGAGATGTACCACTACCAGCACCAGAGGCAGCAGATGCTGTGCCTGAAGCGGTGAGCCCCCCAGCATGCAGGCGTGGGGCTGTCCCGCCGCTCCTGGACCCAGCTACACCCCATCCCCCCGCCCCCTTAGGGCCGGGGTGCGCCGTGCGCCCAGTGGGGTCCCTGCAGGGCATGCAGAGGACCCAGTGATCCCACCCTCACCCAGGCACAAGGAGCCCCCCAAGGAGCTGGAGTCTGTTTCCTCGGATGAGGAGAACGAAGATGGCGACTTCACAGTGTACGAGTGTCCGGGCCTCGCACCGGTAGGCACACAGGGGCTCCCCAGCAGGGGCAGGGGCTGCCAGCTGGCCATCTGCAGCCCAGGCCTCACCGGTGCTACCTCCACAGACCGGGGAGATGGAGGTTCGAAACCCGCTGTTTGATGACTCCTCACTGCCGGTGCCCCCGCTGCAGTGACCGAGGCTGTGCCTGCCACCTGCTCACCTCTGCCCGCGGTGGCCGCAGCCTTGGAAAGCACACTGCTGACGTGCCCGTGCCAAGGCTGACGCCAGCGCAGGGCCCCGCAAGAGAGAGCCTGCCATGTGCTGGGAAACCTCAGTTCCCTCGTGCCTCCCCTGTCCAGGCTGATCCCCCCAACTGGAAGGGCTGGGGAGAGCCCTGGAGCCCAGGCATGGCTGGCGGATTCTGGAGACAAAAGCCAATTAAAGTACCTTTGACGCCTGAGCTCTCGGCTTGTTGGAGGGTCTGTGAATCCTCAGCCACCTTCCCGCACTGGGACCCCCTGGGGGTCTGAGGCCGCCTCCTGTGCCCCAGAGAGAGGTGGCTGGAGGGGAGGCTCCCCCAGGGCTGCACAGGACACCTGACCCTCTTCAGGGGCCGCCCCCTGCCCACACTTCTGGCCTGCCACGGAGGGTCCAGGTGCTGACCCGGAAGACCCCATCTGTGAGAGGGACAGGGCTGGTACACCTGGGTGTGGCACCCAGCACCTCCATCCTGCCTGCTGTCCACCTGGGCTCCTGCAGTATTTAGTGGGGTGTTCCAGGGAGAGGGACTTGGGATACAGTCTCCAGGGTGAACCTGGGAACCTTAATACCTGGGACTGGACTAGGCTGAATGAGGGGCCTCAGACACCTCTGAGACGGGAGGAGCAAGTAGTTTAGGATGGGCAGGGCCCTGGAGAGTGGATAAGGCAGCGGAGCGGAGTGTGGTTATGCACACCTGTAATCTCAGCACTTAGGAGGCTGAGGCAGGAGGACCATGGTGAGTTCAAGGCCAGCCTGGGCTATGTAGTGAGCTCAAGGCCAGTGTGAACTGCTTAGTGAGACCCTGTCTGAAAACACAAAAGAGTGTATGTGGCACTGGCAGGAATGGGATCACCCTGTTTGGGGTCACTGGTTTGTCCTAAGTGGTGTAGTTTGGGGATGGAGCCCCCTAGACTGGGAAGCACCTTCACACTCTCCCTGCACTTCCACTCAGCTGGAGCCTCAGTTTCCTGCTGGGCGCTGGTGTGGGGCATGGGGGCAGGGCAGGTGCTGAGCACCAGGCGTGGTACACGTATGTCCAATGTCATTTACCTGAGCCATCGGGGGTGATGACAAACTGTGCAGAGTGGGGCCTCACTCCAGGGCCCAGGGCACTGGGTGCTCAGCAGGCTGCTTCCCTGGCAGGGCTTGCAGAGCCTGGGCTCAGACCAGAGGGTGACGCTTGGGGACCCTGCCCTGCTGGCCACCTGGGGTCCAGAGCAGCCACCCGTCGCGTGGCACCTTTTTCTTTTAATTTATGTACTTGAATCCAAGGCCTTTGCACTGAGCCGCATCCCCAGCCCTTTTAAAATGTTTTCTTCTGGGACAGGGTCTGTGTCAGGCTGAGGTCTTCCCGCCTCCCGCTCCCAGAGCGCTGGGCATAGCTGTGGCTCCAGACCTGCCTCCTCCGTGTCCACGTTGACCTTTCAGGGGTCTGCTGTCTGTCCTTGCTGCTCACACTCAGAGGCTTCAGAGGGTCTCCTGGCTGGAGAAAGGTGGCCCCAGCCCTCCCGGCCCACTCACCTGGCAGACCCTGTGTGGCTCAGCCTGTCGGTGCTGTCCAGACCCCTCCCGTCGGGCCCAGGTGCAGGCGGGCTGCTCTGGAGTGGGTCCGGGCCCGGTGCTGGCGAGGCCTTGCCGGGCCTCGTTAGCCGCTTCCCTTCCCCCAGAACCGGGGGTCCCTGGGCACATCTTCTCCACCACAGCCCCCGACTGCCCTGCCGGGCCTGGGACTCTCCTCACCCCCAAGCCTGCTGCAGGCCCGGCAGCCCAGCGCCTCCAGGACCTGCTTCTCACTGTAGTGTGCATAGCCTGACGCGACCGAGCTCCAGCCCCTGGCGGGCCCCACCTGTGCTTCCCAGAGCACAGATGCCGTGGTGACGACCCCAGCCCAGCCCAGGCCTGGAGGGAAAGCCCACGCGTGGCCCAGGACGTGAGGCACTGGGAGACCCCAGCCCAGAGTCTGGGAGGTGACATCTTCCCATTGCACCTCGGATCCACAACCCCAGCCCAGGGGCCACCCCGGTGCTGCTGCCCCAGCTGCAGCCTCCCACCAGCCATGTGGCATGGGGAGCAGGTCTTGATGCAGAACGGAAAAGGACATGCAAAGCTAGGGTGTGCCTCATGGGTCCCTGGAGAGCACCCCCCTCCACCCCCTATTCAGGAGCGGCCCGAGGGCTGCAGCTGAGGAGCGTGTGCTCCCCAACTCGGGTTGCTGGGCAGGAACGGGTCCTGCTTCAGCCCTGCACTCAGGGCCCAGCACCACACCCCGGTGGCCCGGTAGGACTACCCTCCTGCTGCCTGGGCCAGCAGGCTCCCCCGGCCACCTGCCGGGCCTACAGGGCCCCATCTCTCTGCAGACCCACCCTCCTGAAGGTCAGCCCAGCCCCACCCTTTCACGGAGAATAGTGTTCCCAGCCTCCTGCGTAGCAGGAGTGAGTCGCTTTAGGGCACGGCCGCCAGGGGGCCCTTGTGCCCTGGTCAGGCATCGTCCTGCTCAGTGCAGGCCCAGCCGGGCTCCCTGAGGTTCCCTGGCTGGGGCGGGGTCCCTCACCCTCCTGCTGGCCTGGGTGCTGCTGTGAGCCAGGCATAGCGGCCTGCAGCCCACTGCTGCCCTTGGTCTCAGCCCATTGTGCTCCCCTCTGGGGGCCTGGAGTAACCAGGAGGCCCTGGCTGGGGGTGTGTGGTTCTGACTCTGCCAGCCCCCGAGGCTGCTAAGCTGGGGCGCTGGGTGCCTGCTGGTGTCCTTGAGAGCCTGGGCAGTCAGGAAGCCAGGAGGTGGCAGGTTGGGGTCTCCCAGCTTTCCCTGAGTTGCCCTCTCTCACTCCCTTGTTTTTCTTTCTTTTTTCTTTTTTTGGTACCGGGGATCGAACTCAGGACCTTGCGCTTGCCAGGCAGGCACCGGAACCACTGAGCTAAATCCCCGGCCCGCTCCCTTGTTTTTCTAACCCATTTTGGGGCTACCGGATTCCCACATGTGGGGCTCTCAGCGTAAGCTGGGCAGCAGCTGGGTGGAACCATGGGGGAGGGAGGGGAGGCTCCTTCGAATCCACCCAGGAAGGGAGCTGGCTGTGGGTGTGGGCGAGGGTGAGGCAGGGCCCTCACCAGCCTGGTGGCACAAACAGGAAGGATGGCGGCTCTGCCCATCAGAAGCTGGTGGCCCTGGCTGGCAGGCAGGGGAGCCACGCAGGGAAAAGAGGTGGGGTGAAGAGCCAGGGTGTGTTCCCCTGGGGACCCCTTCAGGGAGAGATGCCAGAGGAGGGGCCACAGGCACAGGTGCCCTACAGGCCTCTCCCTAGACATGGGGTGGCCGTCAGGGCTTAGTCGGGCACGGCTGCCCTCTCTAGCCCTCTGGGAGCAGAGCCCCTGGGCTGCCTTCCACCCACTCTCCAGCTACCCGCCCTCCTTGCCATTGCACAAGTTTCCCACCACAGCCTGGAAGCCAGGCGACCCACAGGGTGTGGGCCATGGCAACTGCCACTGCTCTGGGGCTCACCTGTGCCCCACCGCACTGCCGCCAGCTACCCGGTTCCCATCCCAACCACAGTCTCAGCTTCCATGGAGCCACAACTGAGGGAGACCAGCAGCTCGTGGGGCTCCAAGGCGACACAGGATGGGCTCGGTGGGCTGTGGGGCCCAGATGGAGCTGGGGCTGCAGAGCTGGCTGATAGCACCGATTGCTGCCCCTCCTGGACCCCTGCATGTGACCCAGGCATGGCTGTACCTGGGGGCACGTGGGGTCCTGGGCCGCAGACCAGGTGGTCTGAGGGGGGTGGGAGGCCACTGGGGAGCACCTCAGCTGGGAGTGGGGTGCAGGCTGAGCTTGGTGTAACCTAGAGGGCCACCCCAGGCCAGCCTGATCAGGGCTGCTGGATCTCTTGCTTGGAGGGGCTGGGGAGGGAACTTGACCTCCATGGTCAGCTGGCCACCAGGCTGGCTGGAGAGGGACCTCAGGCTGCATGTGGCCTTCCTTTTCCTGGCACAGACACCAGTCCCCTGCCCGTCAGCGCCAGGGACAGGACGACTCCTTCCCCTTCCAGTCTGGAAAGCCCCCTCCCGGGACAGCAAAGAGGAAGTGAGGACAGCCCTTCCCAGCCCACCCAGGACCTGGGGCCCGGCCTGCAGCACCCTCTTCTGCAGGCGCAGCAGCCCCCCTCCCTCCTGCTGCTCCATGCCACTCAGGGTCTGCCCCTCCAGCGCATGCTGGGTTCCACAAGGATCCTACGGTCCCCCTGTGCCTGAATCTGGATTCAGGGCCCCAGGCAGTTCCTTCAGATGATGGGTGGGGTGGGGTGGGGTGGCCCGATGAGAAACCTCAGCCTCCTGAAATCGTTGAGCACACACATCTGTGGCACCTGAGGGTCTGGGAGACCACGGCCAGCAGAGGGTGAGAGCAGAGAGAGAGCAGGGGAAGTGGGTGATGCCACAGGGAGGGGCTGCGCCTCCTAGGGAAGTGCAGCTGCGCTCACCAGGCGCCCAGGCCGGTGCAGCCAGTGGCTGGGGTGCCCATCTGAGGAGGGGCCGCCACTCAGTGCTCCACAGGCACCCTTCCTGGGGCAAGGGGGCCCCTTCCTCCTGCTGGTCGGCTCCTGGCCTATCTGGAGCCTGGCAGGGGTGGGCAGGGGGCCTGGCTTGAGGCTCTTCCTGTTGCCAACCCCACGCCTGGCAGCCAGAGGGGTGGGGGCGGGGCTGCAGCAGGAAGGCCCCCGGCTGTCCTCGCCTTGGGTAGATGAAAGAAGGGGGCTTCCAGGCAACAGCTGAGTCTGGGCGCAGGCGTGATTTCGGGTGCAGTTGTCGGGGTGGCTGCTGTGATTTGAGAACCTCAGATCTTTGGGGTGACTGATTCCAGGAGGCGCTGGATGACTAACGCTGGTAAGTGCGTGGCCCCCCGGGAGGGTGAGGGTGGTGGGGCACGGGAACCCATCCATGTCCCCAAGCCTGGGGTGACAGCCTGTCTTCCTGTCCTGCTGCAGGGCGAGGCCCTACCTGGAGGCTGCAGGCCTGGGGAGGCCTGGCAGGGGGGGCCATGCTCTCAGCCCTCTGGCTCCTGAAGCTGTTGGGACCAGCCCCAGGGGGGGCCCCGGCACCCCAGCCCGCAATCACCGTCCTCATCTGGCACTGGCCCTTCACAGAACAACCCCCAGAGCTGCCAGGTGACACTTGTGCCCGCTACGGCATGGCCCGCTGCCGCCTGAGCACTAACCGAAGTCTGCTGGCCAGTGCTGACGTGGTAGTCTTCCACCACCGGGAGCTGCAGACACAGCGGGCCCACCTGCCCCTGGCCCAGCGGCCACATGGGCAGCCCTGGGTCTGGGCCTCTATGGAATCTCCCAGCCACACGCGTGGGCTTCGTCGCCTCCGTGGCATCTTCAACTGGGTGCTGAGCTACCGGTGTGACTCCGACATCTTCGTGCCCTATGGCCGGCTAGAGCCCCGCTCGAGCCCTGCACCCCCACTGCCGGCCAAGAGCCGATTGGCCGCCTGGGTGGTCAGCAACTTCCAGGAGCGGCAGCAGCGTGCCCGGCTGTACCGGCAGCTGGCGCCCCACCTGCAGGTGGATGTGTTTGGCCGTGCCAGTGGGCGGACACTGTGTACTGACTGTCTGGTGCCCACTGTGGCCCAGTACCACTTCTACTTGTCCTTTGAGAACTCTCAGCACCGAGACTACATTACCGAGAAGCTCTGGCGCAATGCGCTGTTGGCGGGGACCGTGCCTGTGGTGCTGGGGCCCCCCCGGGCCACCTATGAGGCCTTCGTGCCCCCTGACGCCTTTGTGCACGTGGACGACTTCAGTTCTGCCCGCGAGCTTGCTGCTTTCCTCACTGGCATGAATGAGAGCCGATACCGAGGCTTCTTTGCCTGGCGTGACCGACTGCGTGTGCGGGTGCTCACTGACTGGCGGGAGCGCTTCTGCACCATCTGTGCCCGCTACCCCCACCTGCCCCGGGGCCAAGTCTATGAGGACCTGGAGGGCTGGTTCCAGGCCTGAGCACCCGCCACTGGGGGGATGGGGGACAGGCCTGGATGTTGCAACCGAACCAGCGGCATCCGGCCACCCTGGGGCAAGCCAGGGTCACAGACCAGGAAGCCAGGAGGGAGGAGCAGCTGCAGGCGGGAGGCTGTGGGAGGCAGGTGGGCTTCGGAGGCACTGGGGGGCAGGCAGGGTGGGGAGAGGTCATGGGAGGCTGTTGCTCAGGCTGATCAAGGAGGAAAGGGTCTTAGGACGCCCCCTCTCTGCCCAGAACAAACACTGAGCAGGCTTGGCTGGAAGAAGAAGAAGCAGGGAGGGCTCTTGGGGCCAGGAGCATCCGGTTTGTGGTTTGTGGGGCCCAAACCTGAACCCTGTGAACCCCCATAACAGGTGCCCTGGTCCCCCTCTGTCCATAGTTCTGGCCTGGAGATCCCAAGAAGGAACAACAGTGGGCTCGGAGAGGGGAGCGGGGAGCCATGGAGAATAAAGAGGCAAATGTGACTGGCGGCTGGGCGGTGCCTGTCAAGGCCACAACATCCCTGCGCCTTCTCCGACTCTGTGGTGCCCTGCTAAGTGGCAGCTCAGAGCACCTTGCCTGGCCCCCAAGCACAAGCAGAGCAGGACCCCGGGCTGAAGCCCCACTGGGGCCAAGGGTGCCCATCTCCCATCTCATGGGGCCTGGGGTGGAGGCCACCTGGGTGTGACAGGGCCTGATTTGTGACTTGGAATCCCTCTGGGGCTGGCAGCTGCCTGGGTGGCACAGAGGGTGGGACTTGAGCCTCAGTGGTGGGTGGGCAGCAGGTTGGAGAGGTGGCGGTGACCAGGGCGGTGATTAGGCCCCTGGGTGGGGGTGGCGGGTGACCCCATCCCCACGCTTCCGGCCTGGCCCAGCCCGGGCCTCCCGGCTCTCAGGAGAGGGGAATGTCCTGAGGCTGGTGTGGGCAGGGCTGCACCTGCCAGGGTCACCTACCCTGCAGAGGAGCTGCAGAACCCCAGAGCCTGATACACTTTGGAGGGTGCACTGTTCATGCATCTCAAGCAGAACCCCCATGGCCTGGCCCTGCCGGTCATGGGTAGGGAAGGAGAGGCTGATAAGGAGCTGTCATGCGACCTACCCGCAGGGCCTGCCTCTCTCTGAGCCAGCCTGCCCTCTCCGGCCTCCTGCTGGCCTCTGCTGCCACTGCGGGCCTCTGGGAGGACCTGGCCCTGGAACAACCACCACCCATCCCCCACACCTTAGACTGGGCTGGGGTCTGTGCCCGTCTGGGCCTCTGTCTGCCAGGTTCCGGCCACCTCTGTACAGGGGCTGTGTAGAGAGGCTCCCTGTGCAGAGGCCAGGCTCCCCTCGGACAGAGACCGACAAGCAAACCATGCACGGAAGGGCAGCCGGCATCCCCAGCACCCTGACCTGCAGTTCCCGGGGCAGCACCCTGCACATCCACTCTTTCGCTGCTCAGGGGGTGGCAGCCTGGGTGGAGTGCCGCAGTGCAGCCCTGCAGTGGCCTTTTTTTTTCCGAGACAGGGTCTCGCTACATATTATAGGCTGGCCTCGAACTCGCAGCAGTCCTCCCGCCTCAGCCTCTTGAGTACTGGGATTACAGGCAGGTGCCATCACCCCTGGCCTCAAAATTCTTAATTATGGGCTGGGGATTTAGCTCAGTGGTTCTGGCTCCTGCCTTGCAAGCGCAAGGTCCCGAGTTTTATCCCTGGCACCAAAAAAAGAAAAGAAAAAGAATTCACACAGAGCTGGGCACAGTAATGTAGGCCTGTAATCTCGGGAGGTCAAGGCAGGAGGGTGCCGTGAATCTGAGGCCAGCCTGGGCTACATAGCAAGATCCTGTCTCAAAAACAAAACACAACAGAACAGAAGAATTTCAAGTATAAGTTTAACTTTATCAGAGCAGAAGCTGGGCTCCCATTCCAGTCCTGCCCCACTTCTTCATGTGACCCACTGTCTGCTGGTCACCCACCTCCCCAAGGGCAGCTGGACCTGCTGCTGGACTCATCCCCGGATGCTCACACCCGCCTGAGCTGTGTAGGGGCTGCAGGGACCCCTCAGATGCACCAGGACCCGCGAGACTCAGGCCTGGCTGCTTCCAACCCACGTTAAAACTCCTCATGAGCAGCTGGCAAGGCGGCCCTGGTGTCTGTGGTCTCAGCACTCTGGAAGCTGAGGCAGGAGGACTGCTTGAACCTAAGAGTTGGAGACTAGCTTGGGCAACATTGCAAGCCCAGTCTTAAACGTAAAAACAAGGCCGAGGGATGCAGCTCAGTGGTAGAGAGCTTGGGTAGCATGTGCGAGGTCCTGGGCTCAATCTTTACCCCCTAAACAGCAACGACAAAACCCCAAAGCTCCTTGTAGGAAAACTGCTTGGATAATGTTCTGGCCCCGGGTGCCTCCTGCTCGCTGCGCCCCAGGATCCCTTTCCCATCTGCCTTTCCTAACCACTGACCAGGACGCTCTACCTTATGCACCCCATCAGTGCCACTTGGTCATAGTGACCCATTTGCTTGGGACACGGGGCGTCCCTGGGGGTCTCAGCGGTCCCGAGATGGAGCGCTGGCTCTCGGAGTGGAGGCTTCCGGAGGCCCCGCGCCCAGCCGCCCTCACCCTGGCCACGTCCACAGGAGGTTCCCGCCTGGGGTGCCTTGGCAGGAGTCCCCTAACGGGATGGGCAGGGTGCAGGGCTGGGCCCGGGAGAAGCGCTGGGCAAGCAGACCCGCATTCAGAAAGGCGGCGAGCGGGCCTGGGGTGCGGCCCGGGCGCCCCCTGGCGGGCTTGGGCTTGAACGCGGGGCGTCGCCTTTAAGCGGGGGTGGCGCGGGCCGGCGCTGGTCCCAACGCCCCGCCCCATCCCGCGCGGGCGCTGCCGAGCGGCGCGAGCGGGCGGCGGGGCCCGGCGGGGCAGGCAGAGGAGCGGCCGCGGCGCTAGGCGCGACGCCCGCCATGGGCTTCCTGCACCAGCTGCAGCTGCTGCTCTGGAAGAACGTGACGCTCAAGCGCCGGAGCCCGGTGAGCCCCGCCAGGCCCGCGGCCCGCGCCACGCGCACGTGCGGCGCCGACCCCTCCCCGCG